CTGTTCCTCCACCTTTCATCAAAGCATGATGGCCTTTTCCAAGGACTGGTCTTTCCTAACAACATGTGCAAACTATGTGACACAAAGCTTCGCCATCCTTGTCTCTAAAGAGCACCCTTAGAATAATAGTTCATAGCAATGTTAGAAATCATTCACCGTGAAATGAATGACGTCTGACATTAATGAGGGGACAGCGAGGGGACAGCTCACCAGCAGGAGAAGAGCATGTGCTCTAGCCTTGGAAACCCCTCTCTAGTCTTTGGGGTCAGTGTGCCAAGAGGGGTTGACCGTTAGGTTCTGGGGCCGGCGTAGAAGATACCCATGCTCAAATGGTGTGGAGAGGACTAACACTTTATTAATAGTGGATATTATCATTGACACACACTCATCACAGCAAATAGTGTTAGGTTTACTAGTGAAAGATGAAAGATAGGAAAAAAACCAAGCACAGAACACTGTCTAAGAGTTAGACAGTGGGTCCCCTCTCATGAGTGAGAGGGAACCTCACTGTGGTACAGAGTTCCAGTGTTCATGTCTTCTTCCTAATCTTAACTGTCCTGCTTTTCCAATCAGTGGCTTTAAAAAATTTTTTTTTAATTTTATGTTTTATACAAAGTTAGTATACATTGTGTTTCACAGTATTCTCCATTCACATTGTGTTTTATACTATCACTCCCATTCATTATGTTTTATAAAATTAATCATCATTGAACTAAGTGACTTTTTCTGATTGATAGTGAGAGACAACTCTTTCTTCCATGGTGATCACAGGCTTTCTTGTGCTTCCCCAGTAAGGTGGTGGAGCCCCACTTTCAAGTAAAGAAGCGTTAGCCGTCCCATCCTGCAGTGGTTGCTGACCTGAGCTGTCTGTTTCCCTTCCTCTCCCTTGGTCCTGGTGGCCATGCTTCCTTTGTTCTCTCAGACCTTAACAAGGACCCTGAGGCCCATTTACACAGAGTGCAAATGTGTGTCCCACCCGGGAGAGGAATGTTTGCCTTTCACACTTTATGTCTTGTATGCCTTCTTCAACAACCTGCCTTTAAAAAAAAAAAAAAATAAAAAAGAAATCATTTACTTTCTTTCGTAGTGCAATTGAGTTTACTGAAAGATCATGGGGAACCATAGAGTGTTCCCACATACCTCTCCTCACTGCACTAACCCACTTCCATGTAGTTGATGCTAAATCATGGAGATCCTCCATCCAGTTTCTGAAGGGATCAGTCTAAGTGAGAGCAGACCACCCCATCTTTCACCTTTGGAGTAAGTGGTGGGTTTGAACTGCCACTGTTTCACTTAACTTAGCCCAATACTTCACCTACTTTCTTACCTTATAGAGCCAACATTGTTTCATCTATTATTAATATCTTGCATATTAGTTAGAATTGTTGAACCAAAGTTTGGGTGTTGATCAGATCATTGTAGTCCCCCTGTTTTTTCACTGGATGATTTTGAAAGTCAGTCGCCTGTTTTCCCCCCACCTCCCACTCCTTTTTAGTTTAGAAGGTCCACTAACGCTTGTTCAGCATTGTAACAACACACAAGCCACCACTGACAGACAGGTTGGAGCGTTGGCTGTAACTCTCAAGGGGAAGATGAGAATTCTACTTCTGAACCCATCACTGCCCACACTTGTTGTATGTCTGCACATTTCCACTGTTGTTCAGTCGATTCCAACTCCTAGTGCCCCTTTCCATCAGGTTTCTGGGGCTGTAAATATTTATGGTAGGAGATTGCCCAGCTTTCTCGTAAGAAACAGCTGATGGATTGAAATTACTGTGGGTTTGCAGCAGACCGCACAACCAGAGCTTCTTGTACATAATTTTAGTAACTACAGTTTATTGATTCATTTTTTTTTACCAAGGAATGTTTGGATAATTTCCATGCCTTTGATCACATCTCCATTATTACACAAAGCCCTAATTGGCTCTACTAAGATGTAGAGTTGATAGGATTTAAGTAGACTTGTTAATGAGGCAATCCCCAACCTCCTTCTACCTTCCCTGGTCTCTCAGGGGGCTCATTCACACTTAGTCTTGTCAACAGTGGGGCAATGCCAATCGTTGGGCTTCCTCACCAACAGTCATGTGACTAATCATTCTTTTTAATTGACCAAACTTTTTTAATAAAATGGTTTATTGCGGAAACTTATTCCTTGCCCCAAGGCTGAATTTTCACCAGCTTTTTGCCGCTCCAGCTATTTCCAAATTTATCATTTACTCTTTGCCATTGGAAACTCATCTGTATTTCCAATGTTAAAACGCACCACATTTCTGGAATCTCTCCATCCCCATTCATTCCTGCTTCTGAGTCAACCCGTTTCCCCTTAGCTCATCTCTTTCTTGTAATGCTTTTCCAAACCCAACCACAGCCAGCTTGCATTGTTAACGTTCTGTTTTACAACCTATAAACTTCTTTAGACTTATATGTTACCTCCCAAGTAACAGAAGGATTTCACTATACAGTTTCAAGTTTGCTTTTTATAAGAACTTCAGACATTTTCTTGGCAGAGACTTAAACCAGATGCAAAGTACATAGTCTAATGAAGGAGGCCTTCAACAAGACTTCTAATTTAACACTATCTGTGTTGAAACTTCATGTACCTGACTATCAGTCAGTCCCTTAACACCAAGCTGTTGACCCTCAAAGCCTCAAATAGGCAGATGACATCTCTCTGCAGGTCTGTCTGGATTGTATCTACTTGTGAGGGACTCTTGGTTCTTTAAGAACTCATAGTTATTAGACTCAAACGATGACTTCCTCCTGTTGCTGTTAATTACTGTTGAGCCACAACTCTTAATTACTTCATGTGTAATGGAACTAAATGTTGCCCTGTCCTGCAGTATCTTCACAATCATTTGTATGTTTGAGACCATGGCTGTGGCATTTGTGCCCATCCCTCTCATAAAGTGTTTCTCTCACTTTCACAGACCCTCCGTTCACCAGTCATGTTGTTGTGTCCATAGTAAGTGAGCCAACGTACCACCACCCTCACATCTAAGGAGCGCATTTCTGGTTGTATTGCTTCTTGGACTGACTTTGTTGTTATTCGAGAAGTCCACGGTATAGTCAGGGTTCTTCATCAGCACCGTGGTTTAAATGCATCTACTCTTCTTTTGTCCTCCTTTTTCTTTGTTCAGCTTTGCCTGCCTATGAGAGGATTAGAAAACCCCACAGAGTGGACCAAGCATGACTTAGTCATCAAAGTCACAGCTTTGCCACAGATTTGCCCAGTGAACTATGATCTTGGAATTCTTGATCGCTGCGTCCGTGCACATTGACGGATAACCAGGTAGAATGAAGTCACTGAGCACCTTCATTTCATCTTCACTTACAGTGTTTAATCAAAGTGTCAGACAAAATGATGGGGGTCCCAGAAAGTATTGCCAACAATCTGCTTAATGATAGTTGAATATTATTAAAATTCCCTTTATTAATGTGCATCCTAATATTCTTGAACATCAAAGTTAGATTTGAGTTAAAGTTTCAGAGGAATTTTGTGCACACCTCAGCCAGTCCACTACATGAACAACCTACAGCTGTGTGTAAGGAAGTGTGCCAGAGATTTGCAAACTGCATGTTCTCATCACTTTGACCTTCATCATGATCAGCTGAGGTTTCTAGCCTAGGCACCATGCTAAATTCTTGGTGCTAAATACTTATCTAGAGGACCATTCACAGGGCAATCAGGAAAGTCTCACCAGATCTGGAGTAGATCTTGCTCACGTTAGGTATATAAGATCCCAGAATGCCCACTCAGGTGGCCCTGAGCTCACACCAAGACACGTGCAGGTCTCTTCCCACGCCTGTCTCCCTCAGGGTCATCAGCGCGTATAAGCCTAGGTCTCAGGGGTGCTCAGGCTGCATGGACAGGCCTTGCAGGATTAAGGTCCAGGACTGGAAACTCAGAAGGGAAGACTGCTATCTTCCTTCTCACGGAGACCCCTGATGTGTTGGACAAACCTGATTCCTGAGGAAGTAAGTCTAGGCCTTTTAAACAGATGCTGGCACCTTTTAGAATCTCTGTCTCCTTTTAGCAGCTCTGACCATCTCCCAGTAAGCACCAACTCATCTCAGAGTTCAGTTACTTCCATTCATCTGGCCATCATGGCAGGTGCTCTTCTCCCATTACTGTCCCTGTGGCTGTGGCACACGACACAGACACACTTGAGCTAGCTAAAGTGTCAGTGAGACCTTGCCTCCAACTGGATTTAAGTAAAGTCCTCATAAAGGTGTCCACCAGCATGGTAACACCTGGGCTACTTCTCGCAGGCCACAGGGCATGTACCTACTGGCTCCCTGTGCCTTAGCCAAGTGCCTTCACCCTGAAGAGCGGGGAATCCTTGCTATCTGCATTGCTCTGGAGCATTCAAAAGCAGGGTCACTTGTCTCCACTTATATGTGAACACAGGCAAAAACATCCTGGGAGTCAGAAAAAGGAACACCATGGTTTCACGTGTCCAAGCAGGGGCCACACAGGCAGCTCCAGCAGCCAGGAGCTCAGGGGCCACACTGTGTCCTCACTCCCATTCCTGCACCCGCGACACTGACCTCAGAGAGGTGACCTGAGGGTTGGATGAAATAATCCCTCTGAAGGACCTGCATTGTGCAGGAGGCACTTGGTGAATGTCAGTAGTGTTTTTCACAAATAAATAAAATGAATGGAATTTGGGCTTTGAGACAAAGTGACTTGGGAGTTGAGAGCAAGCTCCAGCAGAACAGACACAGCTCAGTCAGAATCACCTGAGTGAGGATGTGGTTTATTGATTCTCAAGCCAAGATGGGGGTTGGCAGAGCAGAGGGGCCAATGGGAGAAGAGGAGGAGCCCCAGGACCCACCGGTGGGGCTGGAATGACTCTTGTAAGTGTGGAATTAATTGTGGATTTTTGGCTTGGCCTGAGAGATGTGGAAAGATCCCAGATAGCACAGATTGTTACCCACCCGGATAGAACTACATGTCAGGGTCAGTGAGAACCCAACTGGCCATAGGTGGCAATGCCCACTCAGCAACTGGCCTCCTGGCCACATGATGGAACACAGCAGGCGGGCTTGCACACAGGGCGGCAGATGAGGGACACACTGGAGGAGGGCTTGCAGCAGGAGGAGGAGCAGACAGAGGGCTGGCAGCAGGAGGAGGCTGAGCAGGGGCTGGACCCACCGCAGATTGGCTTACAGCAGACAGGTTCACAGCACACAGGCTTGCAGCAGACAGGTTCACAGCAGATGGGCTTACAGCAGACAGGTTCACAGCAGATGGGCTTACAGCAGACAGGTTCACAGCAGATGGGCTTACAGCAGACAGATGCACAGCAGACAGGCTTACAGCAGACAGGCTTGCAGCAGACAGGCACACAGCATGACTGCTGGCAGGAGGAAGAGGTGCAGCATGCAGGCTGGCAGCTAGATTGGTGGCAACATGAGAGAGTTGAACAGGGGGAATCACCACAGCAGATAGACACACAGCACACAGGCTTGCAGCAGATGGGTTTGCAGCAGACAGGCACGCAGCAGCCCTGCTGGCAGGGGGAAGAAGTGCAGCATGAGGACTGGCAGCAGGACTGCTGGCAGCAGGAGGGCTCACAGGAGCTGGTGCAGCCTGACTGGCAGGGACTACACCCACAGCTCACAGGGGTGCAGATGAGAGTCACACAGCGAGCTGGGGCACAGCAAGTGGGGGCACAGCAGGAGGACTGGCAGCAGGGAGGCTCACAGTAGCTCTCTTGGCAGTCACCCTCCTTCCAGGAGGAGCTGGTGCAAACACTAGGTGAACAAACTCGGCTGTCACAGCCCAGATCACTAGAGCAGACAGACAGAGTGGAAGCAGCAATAATGCAAGTCCTAGAGCAGCAAGTGTCAGTCATGATGGGGTGTTGGGGCTTGAGGAGTGGATGAGTGAGTGAGGGAGGGAGGGAGGGAGTGAGCGAGTGAGTGAGTGAGCAGCTTTGGGCTGGGAGGTTTTTATATCCCTCCCCAGTATGTTTTGACAAGAGTCTCAACAAGCCTTCCTTCCTTGTTATTGCTCAGAACACACTTCAGATAACTTTCCTTAGCTTATTTGTCATGAGATGTTTGTACCTTTGTACCAAGATATCTGGTATGTTCAGGTGAAGATTGATCACTTTGAGGTGGATTTATACCCTGAGATTATATGCCTGTTGGTTGAGCATAAAATGAATGGATCATGTTGGATGTGTTTTTGAAAATCTTGGTTTGTCTTTCACCTTTCTGCGGTTGTGTAACTTTGGTGTGGTTCTTAGTTTTGGAGTGCTTTGCATCAGCAGATTCTGAATCATGAACAGAGTGGAACTTCCCAGTAGGTCTTCTACCCCAGTATTTAATGAAATACACATCTAAATTCTGTGCTATTTTAACCAAGTAATCACTACTCACAGTCCAGTCTGTGTAATGGAACCATATTTAATTTACGTACTTGCTCACCTTTTGTTTTGTTTTCCTTGTTTCCTGGAAGTTAATGATTACTATTTTTTGTTTGGGTTTTAGCACCAGTGTCACGAGGGTAGACTTCACCCAATGTGGTAACTCATGGTGTCAAATCCCTTCTACTCTGTGAGCCTCTTTCTGCGCCAGACCATACAGAATAATGTGCACCGCAATTATGTAGCCAAAAGAGCAGAATGTTTGACCAATCAGCTAATCGCTTCTTTACTCTGTGGACTTCTTCGTGTGCCAGACCATGAAGAATTCTTAGTAATGTGCACCACAAATGAGCTGGAAGAGGTCCATATTTGTTCCCATTCCCAAGAAAGGTAATTCAATAGAATGTGGAAAACATCGAACAATATCATATGCAAGCAGAATACTGCTGACAATCATTCAAAAATTGCTATGTAGATATATAGATAGGAAGCTACCAAAATTTCAGGCAGGATTTAGAAGAGGCCAAGACATTAGGGATATCATTGTTGATGTCAGATGGATCCTGGCTGAAAGTAGAGAATACCAGAAGAATGTCTATACCTATTCAGTCTGCATGCTGAGCAAATTATTGGAGAAACTGAACTCTATGAAGAGAAATGTAGCATCAGGATCAGAAAGAGACTAATCATTAACCTGCATTATGCAGAGACACAGCCTTTTTTGCTGAAAGTGAGAAGGACTTGAAGGACTTGTTGCAGAAGATCAAAGAATGCAGCCTTCAGTGTGGATTGTATCTCTATGTCAAGAAAACAAAGATTCTTACCACTGCACCAATAGGCATCATCATGATGGATGGAGAGGAGATTGAAACTGTTAACAACTACATCTTGCTTAGATCCACAATTAACAGCCTTGGAATCTGTAGTCATGAAATAAAGTGATGCACTCAGAAACTCTACAATTAGGGACCTCTCCAAATTGTTGAGGAGGAACGATGTCAGTTTGAGGACCAAGATGCATCTGATTCAGGCCATGGTCTTTCTGATCACTTGCTATGCATCTGAGATCTGGACAATGAATAAGGATGACAGAAGAAGAATCGATGCCTTTGAGGTGTGGTGTTGGAGAAGAGCATTGAATATCCCATGGCCAAAAGAACAAACAAGTATATCTTGGAGAGGGTGCAGCTGGAGTGGTCTTTGGAGGCAAGAATGATGAGGATTCACTTCACATACTTTGGACTTGTTCTGAGGAGGTGCTATTCCTTGGAAGGATAGAGGGTCCATGAAGGGGAGGAAAAATCTCAACTAGGTGGATTGACATGGTAACTGTTGAAATGAGCTCTAGCTCTAGTGTGTCAGGAGGTGTGAGGATGGTATAGAATAGGACAAGGTTCAGAACCACTGTTCATAAGGTCATTATGAGTTGTACTTGATTTGATGACACCTAACAACAACCACTACCACCAGCACCACCACCACAACAACAACAACAATAAAACATCAGAACATTTTGTTTGTTTGTAAAAATTTTATTACAGTTCAAATTAGCATGTTGATTCATTTCAGCTCCTTCACTGCCAAACCTGGGGGCAGGGACTGCTTCAGTTTCTTGGCCTTCTCTCTGTCTGTGATGACCAGGGTGTAGAGGTATCTGTTGCACTGAACCTTGAACTTCACATTGTCCTTGTTCTTCTTGGTCTTGACAGATTTGGCATCCTTTCGCCTGGCTGTGAGCCGGAAGTCTTTGATTTCCTCAATTTTGTGAGGCATGGCGGCGAGTGTGGGGGGCTGCGGGTGCGAGTCGGTACTGCCAAAGACACAGCCAGCCGAAACATCAGAACATTTGACCAAATTAGTGACTATAGAAATACTGAGAGTAATGAAAACAATAGCATGTGCTTATAGTAAGTGCAAATGAAACCATGTGATTTGAAATGTTATTTTAATTGGATAATTATGATAGCTGTGTCTGGAGTGCATTGTTATTGTTAGATGCTGCTGACTCAGAGTGACCTTGTGAACCACAAATAAAAATTTTGCCCTAGTATTATTCACCATTGCAAGATCATGGAAACAGCCCAGATGTCCAAACACAATTGAATAGGTTGTGAAATTATGATAGATTCACATACTGGAATACTATGCAGCACACAGGAGCAATGATTTTGTAAATGACTGCCTATCTTGGGAGGGACTAGAGAGCATTTTGTTAAGTGAACTCAGTCCCATAAGGACAATACTGTATAAGACCATTATTGTAGAACTTGTATGAGGACCCAAAGGAAGAGGGTAGGAGGAGCCGAAGGGTGAGGCTGGGCAGGGGAGGGGTTTAATCATAATGTCTCACAACTTGGTGGGTGGGGGAAAGGGTGGGTAAAGGAAGTAGAAAGGATTCAGTGTGAAAATCAATATATACAGACTTTGTAAGTAAACCAGTATAAAATAAAAATTTTCTTTATTTTTTAAAAAAACCACCAGAAAAAAATCTCCACCCCCTCAAAAATACCTAACTTCGCCCTGTCCTGCAATTTAGAATGTAAGCATTTATTATTACCATTCATATCTAATTTTAGAATGTAATTGATCAAATATTCATTCATTTTTCAAACATTCATCAACATTTTGAGAGTTGCATGCAAGATATTCTTTACTTAAACAGTTTGCTGTTTTGTTTTATTTTAAATAGAGAGTGTAAAGTGGTTTATTGGGCGTTGACAATGTTTGGATATTTATGTCTTTTTATCTTTTAAAATTTTTTTTTATTTTATATTGGTTTATTTCCAAAGTTCATATACATTGTGTTTGGCACTATCCTTCCTTCACTCACACTGTGTTTCATACAATCATTCTCATTTATTGTTTTGTAAAATTAATCACTTTTTAACTATGTACACTATTACCCAGTCTTTCCAGATCCTTGCTGGATTTTTCCTATTTCCTTTACAAACCCATCCCTCCACCCACCAAATTGTGTGACCCTATGACTTTCCTGCCTACCTTTACCCATCTGCTCCACTCTCCTAGCCCCCTTGGATCCTCATACACATTTTACTAATTCTCTTTCTATTTCTACAATAATAGTCATATACTATAGTTATCCTTATGAGACTGAGTTAGTTCACTCAGCATAATCTTCTCCAGTCTCTCCCAAGTTATACTAATTTTCAAAATTGTTGCTCCTGAGTGCTGCATAGTATCCCATCACTTGAATGTACCACAATATCTCAAACCATTTGATTGTGGTTGGATATGGGCTATTTCCATGTTCTTGGGGCGGTGAATAATCCTGCTATGAACACTGGTGCACAAATCTCCGTTTGTATTTCAGTTCCAATTTCCTTGGGATATATACCTAGCAGTGGAATACCTGGGTCATATGGAACTTCTATGGTCAGCTTGTTGAGGAAAAGTCAAACTGCCTTTCAGAGTGATTGTACCATTTTATAATCCCGTCAACAGTGTGTGAGAGTTCCCAACTGTTCACATCTTCTACAACATTTATTGCTTGCTGTCCTGTTAAACTTTGCCACTGCTGCTGGGGTGAGATGGTATCTCATTGTGGTTTTGATTTTCATATCTCTTATTGCCAGTGATTTTGAGCATTCCTCTTGTGCCTGTTGGCCATCCGAACGTCTTCCTCAGTGAAAAGTTTGTAAATGTCTTTTGATTATTTTGCAATTGTGCTATCTATCTTTTTCTTGTAGAGGCCCAGTAGTATTTTGTAAACGTTTGTTATTAGACCCTGGTTAGAGGTGGCATTGCCAAGTGTTACTTCCCCAATTAGCAGGTTTTCTTTTCACACTGTTGTAAAGTTTTAGGTGCACAACCAGGATGTAATCTTTAGAAGGTCCCATTCATCGATTTTATCCTCTCCTGATTGTGCATTTCTGGCTGTATTTGTCAGCCTTTTTATATCATAGTCTAGGTCTTCTAAGCTTGCTCCCACTTTGTCTCTTACGATCTTTGTGGTTTCAGGCTTTGTTCTAGGTCTCTGATCCACCTTGAGTAGGTTTTTGTGTATGGTGAGAGGTGTGTAGCTCTCTGCAGATAGCAATCCAGTTTGACAGCAGATTTTCTTAATGCAGCATCTCTTTTCATTTTTCAACTGTTGATTATGGATCTAAGTAAAATTAAATCATTGACAACTTTAATTTTTTTTTCTCCAACTATTATGATTTTACCCGTGATTTCAATGGTGAGGAGTATGTTTTCATGACGGTGAAATGCAATCCATGTTGAAGACTGTTGTCTTTGATATTCTTTGGTAAAAATTGCTAGTCTTCTTCACTTTCTGCTGGACTCTATGAAGAGGAATGTAGCATCAGGACGGGAGGCAGACTCATCAACAACCTGTGTTATGCAGATGACACAACCTTGCTTACAGATAGTGAAGAAGGAATGAATGTGTTAGTAGCTTCAGAAAGTAAATGACTACAGAGTTTTAGCATTGCAGATACTGTATATAGTCACATAAAGCTTGG